CTCTGTCACTCCGATCATTTTTTACTGGCTTTCTTTTCTCTTGTACCTTGGCATTCTTTCTTTTTAATACTTTTCCTAAAAATGTTTTTCAGTATATTTTCCTCTTACAGTATTTTTAAGTCGTTTTTATCTTATGTATTCAGCATATTTGTTATTACCATTACTGCTATTATTATTTATTGCTACTAAAAGACGGCTACATAAGGTGCAATGAAGTGGCACATGAAATATCGTATTTCGAGCATGATGTAATGATTTTTCTAAGATATTACATAAGCGCGATACAACAGAGCGTGACTACGCTCAAACGGGGATATAGGTGATGCAAAACGAACCGACTGCGACAGCTTCAAAGCATTAACATCGCAAGGCCGCTTTGAGACAAGAGGCCATACGCACCGAAATAGGTCGTCAGAGCGAACGCGTGCTTTCTGGCAGCACATACACGAGCACACATACGGTACTACGTTTACAGCACTGCACTGCACATACAGCCTAATACAAAGTATACTGTAGGTGCTGAATGTCAGTTACTTATGTAATTAAACAGGTGTGAATTCAAAAAAATATTTTTGTGAAGTAAAGAAATGCGTGTTTTATGACAAATCTTATTTTTTAGTAATTTAAATATTTATCAAATTTTATTTATATTTGTCTTGTATTCCTTTTTGATATATATTATGTTTGGCCAATAACTTTTTTTCTTTTTATACTTTTTCTTAATTATAAAAAAAATAATTAAAAGACAAGAAAAAATGCCTTTAGATATTGGCCAAACATAATATATATTTTAAATATTTATCCCATTCTGATGACGACAAAGTATATTTCATGATTTGGTTTGCCGTCAGTATTCTCGCAATACTAGCAGGGTGTCACGATCGTCACAAGTCCTAAAGGACAGGAAGAAGCCGAGGATGGGCAGTGAAGAATTACAAGTGGTACGTGCCTCGCGCGCGTAGTGTCAGGTACAGATTGGGCATCTGGCCGAAATTGATTGAAAACACGATGGAAATGATGCCTTGGAGCCTTGCAAGCAACCGACAGCTTCGACACATCTGCAGAGCTAAGGTTGAAAACGCAGAATTCGCCCTCCAAGTTTAACTTAAATAATAATAACAACAATAATAAAAATAAATCGGTTTTTATTAATGATCTCAAGATTGTAAGACCTACTCTTTTGCCTGATTGCAATAATTGTTATATATTACTTGACATTGAAAATGAGTAACGTATGACCACCAAAGACCTACATACGATTTTTACCTTCAAGTCCAACGTTCCACTCCCAGTGGATTCAAGTGCAGTCTGTGATCGACACAGAGATTCGTGCCCCTTGTCGTCTGGATTCCCCCGGTCTCCTTCCCCCCCCCCGCCCACTCCACCACCGTGACATC